CGTAGGGGAAGGTCGCCGTGACGTACACCACCTGCGTGGGCAAAGGGGCCCCGTGGTTCAGAAGGAGGCGGGCAACGTGCCCTGGCACCGGCCCCTCCCAGCCACCGACCGGGCCTTCTCAGGACTCCTCGGTGGCCTCTCCCACGTCCTGGGCCCAGGTGCCTGGCGCCAGGGGGTCAGTGCTCCGGGCAGACGAGGGGCCGGAGGGACTGAACCCGTCCACCGAGCACCTGCTGAGCTCAGAGCGGCAAAGGAAGCCGGGGGGGGGACCCTCGCCCCTTGGCGGGTGGGCTCACCTTGCCCGAACTGCGGATGCCCTTCAGCAGGCACAGGAAGAGGACCGTCCAGGCCAGCAGCAGGCAGAGGGCCAGGGGCCACCTCACGGGGCCTGGGTCTCCGAGGCCGGAGCTGTGCACCACCCCCAGCACCTGCTCACTGGAAGGCACAAGCAAAAGGCAGGACAGCCTCACCGGGGGAGGGGGTGATCTCAGCTGCTCCCCTAACACCCCCCCTCAACATTTCTCACAGTATGTACATGGTCTCACTCCAGCTGGAGCAGCCCAGCTTTCAGGCAGGATCCTTTCCCAGCCCCACCGGGGAGGCAGATGCAAATCCCAGGTGGTCCCCATGGCTGGCAGGCATGGACCAGGTGGGGCCCGGATTCACTACGATGCACTGCCTGCCTCTCCTCCGGGGACACAGGCTCTCCCTCTGGATTCATCAGACATGCAGGCTAAAAGGTGGGGAGGGGGGGCAGCTGCTCCCCTTTCCCTAGATCCGTGAACCTGGTCCCACCTCCCAGGGGAAGCTGCAGGGCAAAGCTGTGGAAGCCCCAGGCAGGGTGCCCTGTCAAGAGACCACCACCCNCTACCCCCCCCCCCAGAAGCCAAGGCCTGTTCCTTTGCAGCCGAAAGGGGGAGACTCACTTCCAAAAGGCTTCGCTGGCACTGACCCGAGAGGCGTTGGCCCAGGAGGAGAGATTCTGGAATACAACACACTGGGTTACGGGAGGCGGCCCCCGCCCGTTGCCCGCCCCACCCGCCCTCCTTGCCTTCCACAGCGGCCCGAATGTGTACGAGGCCACCCCAGCCAACCTTGCTGCCTGAGCCCTGCCACCTGTGGCACCGCGGAGGAGGTGCCATCCTGAATCCTCCAGGAGACCCCAAAGGCTCCGGGGTGCCCCTCTCTCCCCGCTGCACCCAGCCTTTCCCACCACCACCGCCACCCCCATGAAGCACCTGAGGCCCACAGAGGGGAGCGTTCTGGGGCGCTTGGCAGGACCAGGGCAGGGGGCTCCGCAGGGAGGAGCCCAGGTAGTAGAAGGTCCAGGCGATGATGACGTTGTAGTAGAGGCAGACCAGCGAGGAGACCAGCAGCATCCCCATCCCGACCCCTGGGCAGAGAGGGCGGAGGAGGGCAGGGCGTCAGCTGCCAGGAGGGCAACACCCTGGGCAACACTCCAGCCGGGCACCCTCCCACGGGGGTGGGGGGCCTCTCAAGGGCACCCCCAGGAGGGCCGGCTGGCAGCCCACCTCTGACTTCTGGCCCGCCTTTGGCTTTAGGACTGTGTTTCGTGTTACCCCCCCCCCAACCCCTTTGGGGACCGGCTGCAGGTTTCTCTGACTCAGGGCCACGACGACCATGAGGTGCCATCTGAACTATCCTGGAGGGCTGACTCTTGTCTGTTCGTCCAG